GGGTTGAGAACGATGTGAAGGCAGATTATGATTGAATAAAAATTACGATTGTTCTATTTCACGAGAGAGCATCTCATCTTCTTTCCCTTTCGTATTAAGCTCTACATCAGATATGCATAGTTACAAAGTAAGATTTTGTACTCTAAAAACACTATAAATAAAACATGATATATTTCATATACTTAGTATGCATTTTTAATAAAATAGTGTGATGGATCAATCCCAGCTACTACATTATACAGTTTCAAACAAGAGTTTGAATTTGACATATAATAATTAACTATCTTATCAGTGTGATTTTGAGAAATAGATGAATATTTATTGACTTGAGATAATAATAAATCCAAATCATGAGCATGACAATTGGTTTAGCACATAAGTTCTAGAATCCAAGATTCAATGGCCAAGTAGACTCTGCCAAAACTGAGCAAAATGTTGAGGGTTGAATTTGTCATTTCCTCCTCTGGGTACAATAATAATTCATAACTTCATAATAAATGCAGAGGAATAAATGAGTGTACCATGCCACAAAAGCTAAATAATTAAATGTCTTCCCCCATATGTGTAATTTTTACCTTCTTTTAGGGATACCAAAATAAATTATGGAAGCTTTTGTCACAAGTTGGTACACTTCTGTTCATTGCTTAAACCATCAAATTAAATAATAAAGAAAAAAATAGTGGACTGGATAAAAAAAACCACCACAATTTAGGTGAAACCAAATTTACATTGCATCATCCAAATGGGATAATAGAAAATCACACAAATTATTATGTGAATTAGTAACAATTAATCAGGTAGGTCCATTATCATTCTTGAACAAATATGCATATAAATTTTATAAAATATTATACTTTTATTAATATTACTTTGTTATATATGACATTTTAAAAGGAAAAAAGAAACGCAACTATTGTGGGGTGTAGGATGGGGCACTATGCACCTTATGGGGGATTAGTCTCACGCCTTGGTGAGTGGATCCCCTAGGTCGATAGGCTTGAGTTCCCGACTTTTCACCGGTAGGGGCTGACAGTTTTTGGTGAGACTAAGTGAATGTGGGGATACTCCTAGTCAGGAAAAAAAAAGGGAAAAAAGAAAAGACCCGGATTGGGTGAAGGTGAACTCTGATGGCGCTTTTCAAAGCAGTACGGGCTTGGGGTGCGCGGGTGGTCTCATTCGGGATGAGTCGGGAAGCTGGGTTGCCGGGTTCGTCATGAATATTGGCCTCTGTATTATTACGGGGGCTGAGTTGTGAGGTTTATTTCATGGTTTACAGTTGGCATGGGACCGGGGCCACCGTCACGTTCCTGTCGAGGTTGATAGCATGTGTGCAATGCACATGGTCTCGAGCCCTGGCGACCATCATGGGTCACACAGGGCTACTCTGGCAGCTTCCTCTCCATTAGGATTCCATCGTGTCGATTTCCCACCCTCCGGCCTGGGGACATAGCTGAATCATGATCTTATCGGGGTCTCTTACCCCCGTCGAGTCCTAGTTTAATCTTCTCTAGGCCTTTGGCCTCCTTTTTTGTTAAAAAAAAAAAAAAAGAAAGTATAACATGATTGGTTCACATGGTTAGGGGCAAACCTTTTACTAGCAACTCGTGCCATTACAATTTAGCTCAATGATAACATCTCAAAGGCCCACATTTCAAATATAAAGAAACATATAATAAATATAATAGTTTCTAAAGATGTATTTGACTCAAATGAGGCAAAAATTTCTCATCTCATCAAGAATTTCACCAAAACCCCATCAAGACCCATATTTTCCTTTCTACCTCCAAAAAAAATGAAGAATTAGCTTTGGTTTGGTCCAAAGTCCAACTGTCCAAAGGTTAAGTCAGCAAAGGAGTTTTCAAGAACAACAATAATAATATCAAAAGAGATCCAAAAAGTAGCAATGAGCAGTGTGAAAAGCAGCCATATGCACATTATTAAAGCATTTTTTTTTTTGTTTCCAAATGTTTCCCCCACACAAGAAGCCCAAAAGATGCCACCACACATCACAAAATTAAATGGAAAATAACAGCTGATAAGATTCCATTTTACCAGTGGGAACACATCACCATGAATGCTGCTGATGAAATATCACCATAGATAGATAAAAGGGGGAAATGTTAAAGTCCCGTTACGGAACCATTCCGTCGGGGTTTGTAACCGTTAAATCATCATGTAACCGTTAGAGATAGTTGATCTAACGGTTACAAACATATACGGAATAGTTCTTGTAACGGGACTATAGCACCTTCCAAACAAAGTGCATTCATTTTTGCAAAATGAACCTTCATAATTCCAGCTTCACCTGCAAAATGTGTCCTGTTCTACACAAGAATTCCTTATCATCCTTTCAGAGTGTAAATAAAAACTTCAAAAACATAATAAACACCAAGAAAAGGGAATTAAGTACTTAGTTGCACACAGAAACTGATACACTTAGAACACTGGAAAATTTCAACCCAAAATACAGCAGTATGCCCCTTCTAACTGCCAATAATATGCCCTAATATACTAGGCACTAAAACTTAATTATAAATACAAAACAGAAGGATTAATTTCAATGGTTATGCCCAATGCTAATACTAAAAAGCTTCACCACCTTCTCCTCCCTTTACAGTCCCAAAACCCCTTAACTAGGGAAAAATGAGCTCCAACTCTTTACCAGTTGGATTTCCTGCTTTGGAGGCATAATAAAAAACCAACCTTCCAAACATTACACCCCATAACAAGAAACTCAAGGGAAGCACAACAAGAAAAACCAGAGATCCTAATATGTTATGTTGTTCTTTTTTTTTTTATCCCACATTGTTAGTAAAGATAAGAAACTGCCCTATCCATATGAACAATTGCCCTTTTTACCCGTTTTTACCGGTTTAACCCAATCTTTGATCAGATCTCGACTTTCCACATCACATTTCCACCACCAGCTCGGCTGTCTCCGAGCGCGGCAACCTTCGCCCCGTGCTTGGCGAGCGCAATTACTGATTTGCCCCTGTCTTCACGAGGAAGCTCGCAGGCCTCACTAACAGATCCCGACCTCAGATCAGCTGGCGGTATGAAGCAGTCCATAGAAAGACCAGGAACATTAAAAGCAACCTCCTCGATAGTCCATGCTTCCTCCATACGGGTCTTGGTGTGGCTCATTGCCATCTCTCCGAACCGGAAAAGGGTCACAACAGACCTGCCGGAGTGTGCTATCATAACTCCCTCCACCGGACGGTAATCTTCTAAGAAAGAGTTGATTGTGGTCTCCCAGTAGACAGCTTCCCCACCGTTGGATTGGATTCGGGTCAGATGGGAATCTTCCATGTGGACCAGAAGGCCTGTTTTCTGGCTGAAGTAGCCGAACAGGACGTGGCGAATGATCTCGGCTGGGCCTTCACTACGCGCCTTGAGCGTTTGAGGGTCGGCAGCTAGCTTTAGGATGAAGCAATCCTCGCCGTTAATGGTTTTCTCACCTATGCATATGGAATCTGCAAACATGCTAGCAGTTGTTCTTGGATCAAGCCCCTGTTGCCATAAAACAAAACCACATTTTTGCATTAAAAACAGAAATTAGGCAACATAGTTTATCTACTGACTAGGAAAAAAAAAATAGCAATATTTTTTAACCTGAAGAGCACGGCGCAAGGGCCGAACAGGTCCCTTTGCTGCGTGAGCTCCGAGCCATGGAGTGTGGCGCCAGACGAGCTTACCATTGCAGCCTGCGTGAACTTTGCTTCCCCCGACTGCAAGCTCGACGTACCACATGTCGGGATTCATTTGCCACAGAATGAATCCACCAGACTCAGCAGCTCTGGCGGGGTTTCTGTTCTTGACTACCTTCGTTGCAGTTTCAAACTCGGAAGCTACCATCTTCAGCTTTCCCATGGCGTATGCGTTTTTTATGGAGTTTTGGACTTTTTGCCCGCCGGAGGCTGCAGTATACTGTTGCAGTATGTACTGTGCCGATGAAGTTTCCTGAAAAATAATCACAGATTATTATTACAACTGATAAGAACCCAAGCATTCAACAATTTTATTTCTTGAAAAATTAAAAAGTAGAATTTTACTTCGAGTACATCGAAAACAAACACCAGTAGATAAAATTCCAGTAGATCATTTTTAATACCATGAATCACAACAGCAAAATATAGCAAAAGGGAGCACAAAACCATAATTCTTACAATGGGCGTGTCCTTTATACTGAGATGAGGCAGAGGGTCGGTGGTGGTAACGTGCACCGGAGCAAGGGGCGCACCCATCACACCGAGAAGCAGCCTCAAATCCGACCTCTTGCCGCCGCCGCTCTCGTTGACGGCGACAGACGGATTCCGGGTCAGCTGACCCCGGACCCACTTCCCGATACCCGACCCGAGCCGCTTCGATTGGCCAATTTCCTCCTCATTCGGATCTGGGCCCTCCATCAACGGAGTCAGAGTCTCACCCACCGGCCTCAGGCTCCCCGATCTCGCAATCAAATTGTCGGAATTACTCGAGCTGGCCTTCCGACGGAGCAGACCCGACATCGGCGACACGCTCCGGCCCGGACTCTTCGCCCGTGACCTCGCCGGAGACAGCCCGCGGACAACGTCCTCCAACGCCGATAAAAACCCTTGTTTCCTCTCCATCTCCTCTAGCCGCAGGCTATTATCAGCACCGAGATGTATAAATTTATGCTATGTGAACAATCACGCAGAATCTCTTTTCGCTAATCCCCTAACGACAAGAAAAAGGGGATTACATGACAGGGACGCGGCCATTTTCCATGAGGCCTGCTCTGGTTAAAACGCGATAAAAACTTCTCCAGTGACAGGGAGAGACAGAGAAAGCTCGTGTTGTGCTTTTTCTAGTTAGAGAAAATGGGAGAAAACGTCAATGGCGTTGTTTTTAGAGAGAGAAAGTAGCAGTGTAGGGGCAGTGTGAATTGTGAAAGCGACTGGTGGGGGAGAGAGAAAAAAATGAAGGTGTACCACTGTGCTGCTCAGTCAGTGCCGCTGCTTTTCTGATAGGTGGTGGTGGTGGTGGTGGTGAAGAGTGTGATGTGAAGGACTGAAGGGTGAGGGCGCGTGGGATCACGCGTCCCTGAAGGGACTAAAATTGCAAATATGATGTTTTCAGGGGGCATCTTGTTTTCGTTTGTCGCTTGTGGAAAATGAAATATTGTACAGACTGGGGGACCTGTTGTCAATTACTCCCTCTGAAACTATTTTCAATTCCCTATTTATTTTCATCTATATTCAACGTGTGTTGGATAATTATCTTAATCT